ACTGGACTTCAGTGTTCCGGTGTTTTTATGGTTGTATCTACTGTAGATCCTGGCTTACAGGAGTTTTTTTTTCTACGGGGGGAAAATCATCGAATGACTGCTCCCGCCTCGGTGAGGTGGGAGTCAGACTCTTACTGACTAAAAACCACCCTGTTCCTTCTCCTGCACGTCGAGCCGGAGCCCCGGTAACCCGTTAGGTTCTCGGAGTTGCAGCGGTTTTGGGAGGTTGTGAAGGGCTCGTCTCATTTAAAAAGTGAAACTAATGTGAATAAAAACAACTTGATATCTTATTTGCTCTGAACTTGCGTAAATCCTACTAACAATTATAAATGTAAAAGTTTGTATGTTACTCCTTCACGCCAAAACGGCTGAAGGGATCAGGATGAAATTTGGGACTCGGGTAGATTATGGTCTGGAATAACGTATAGGCTACTTTTTATCCGACGGGAATACGGGCAGAGCCGCTGGCAGAAGCTAGCTTATGTATATATTATTATCCTTCAATAGTTAGGAATTTCGTTTCATTTTTGGGGGTTTCAGAGCATTTCACGCTTCGTTTAATTTATCCCTTTGGCTTTATCCTTACGTTGCATAAGCCTTAATACATAATATGTTGGTAAATGTATTCACATAATATGTCATGGAAATGGGCTATTCATAAATTCACACAGACCTGTATCTGTTAGTGCGTCTATTATTTTTATATTTATTTATTTAAGACTTAGGACAGAAATAAATGTACAGGTGGACTTAATGCCTTTAGCATTGTCTCACAGTCGACCTTAAGGTGGTGCAGAGATGAAAGTGGCAGGTGACTAAGCAAATATTGATAATAAATAACTATATATAAATACTTAAGATACATACACGTATATTATTAATAGTAACTACATATTATATACTTTTTGAAATATTGTGCGCTTGTTGTGTTTTTTTGTAATTATTACGTTTAATCTATATATAGATATAGAGGTAGTATCTCATATAACAATTCTATATATATATTCCATTAAGTACATGTCTTATGCCTAAGAGATATGGGAAACGTCGAGGTTAATTGGGAAATGTACGTCTATGTCGATTAGTTTTTTACCATTACGTAGTTACGTAACGATATTCTCGATTCCTGTAATTAATTCACGTAGTACTGTAACTGGTATCGAATAGCTTTTCATTTGTTTAAATCGATTTATTCGTGTAAAGTTTAAATTGCATTAACATATCGGTGACATTATTTCATGTTTGGAACACACAAACATGGCGTATCATTAAACGTTTTGTGTTATGTAACTCTAACTTATCATTACATCTTTTATTCGAAAAGGGATAGACAGAGGTGCTCATTACGGCACTTGCCGCTGTATAATGTAACCCACTTTTGCTATAAATCTGGTAACAATTATTAATATTGTGTATGTTTTCGAAGTTAAAGCGCAGGAGTAAACATAAATTATGACGTTAATGGGGTGAGCAGAGCTGTAAATAGTGCTAAATACTACTTGAAGTCACGTTTCGTGTGTGCGAATGTGTTATTGTACATTTTCATGTGTATTTTGGCAGAGACTGCGCTCTGATTAAGTTTACTGTATGGTTGGGTATTTTTAATGACTGTGGACCTGTGTATGGGTAGTCAAATAATACAAACATTTATATTCCATTTGAATATGCTATGTATAAATAACTTAACATAGATAACATCACGCTTTTTATCCCCGAAGGGATAGCCAGAGGTAAACATTACGGCCCTTAATGCCATTGTACAGTGTAACACCCACTTTTCACTATTTATGTTATGAGTCCCATGTAATAGGGGGTGAGCCTATTGCCATATATTGGGCACAATTCCAGACTCCGTGCTACTACTGAGATTTTTTTTTAAAACCCAGTAGTACTTTGCCCGACCGGGAATCGAATCCGAGACCCCTTGCCCGGCAGTCGCACTTGCGACCACTCGGCCAACGAGGCAGGCTATGTATAAATGTTTCACTAAAGTATGTTTCATAATAATTGTATCTAAGTAGGAAGCAAAATAAAGATACATTTCATGTCATTTAATTTCAAAACAACTAAAATTTCATTTTCTCGAGTTAAAATAAAAGTTAATAAGTGTAAAGTTAGAGTATCCTACTCAGTTTTATCTGAATTTCTTTAAGTGGAACTCTTGTTATTTAACTTCTAGAATCACTGATTATATAGGTACAAAGGAGTACAAAGCCATCTCAAAGCATCCGTTGCAATTGAAATGTCAAAATTGAATTGTCCGTCAGCCTGTTCGACGTTGAAGTTAGGTGGTCGTTGCAAATGTTGATTCATATGGAGAAACCACTATGATTTACCTCATGAATAGGTCCAGACAATAAAGGTTTATGATATCAACCAATCAAGAATTCTAATAATCTGAATTTACGATAGACATAATTAGACTTCTGAGCATCTGAGTGTCAAGCACGAATTACTATCGCATTCGTAACGTTATAGTATCGAGCGCATTCGCTGTTCTGCTTGGTTGATTCATTGGTGCCGGCCAATCAAAGCGCCGAACGCGCTCGATACTATAACGTTACGAATGCGATAGTAGTTCGTGCTTGGCACTCTGACACGTAACAACTGTTGCAAATGACATAAGACACCAAAGTAACTTGAGCTTTCGTGAATAGTCCCAAGTTTAATTTAAGTTAGCATAGGCTTTGTGGCTGTAGGTACCTACTTAGATCTTAAGCACAAATAATTTTGATTAAAGGCTAAGATCAATATGGCATACTGTGTTCAGCTTTTGCAACATTTTGCTTAGTATACAGAAGCGTAATGTTAATAATTATACTACTTTATTTTATGGCATAAGCCGGTAAACGAGCAGACGGATCACCTGATGGTAAGCAATCGGCGTCGCCCATGGACACCTGAAACAACAGAAGCGTTAAAAGTGCGTTACCGGCCTTTTGGGGATTGGAAGTTTGAGGATTGTTGGGGATTCGGGGATTGGGGAGATTGGGAAAGGGGGGAGGGTAGTTGGGCCTACGGTAACCTCACTCACACGACGAAACAACGCAAGCGTTGCTTCACGTCGGTTTTCTGTGAGGCCGTGGTATCACTCCGGTCGAGCCGGCCCATTCGTGCCGAAGCATGGCTCAAATATATTTTAAAACGGCTTATAGACGTAGGTAGTTATATACATTAGGCTATAAAACTATTTGTAGCTTCTACTCAGGTATCATAGTTATACAAAAGAGGGTTAGAAAAATGGAACCTACATCATGTAACAAGATTGTAATGTACCAAAATACCTGAGCATTTTATCATTCGTAAGTTTCCACACATTGTTAACAAAATTTAGTTGGGATTGGAAGTTTATCTATCCTTTGCGAAATACCTAGAAATAAGGTAGTTAGCTAGTAACTTATAAGTAAATCCTAACTTTGTAATAAAAGTGTCTGGCTGTAGCGTTGGCTTTGCCTCAGGTCTTGAGTGTGACAATGTCTATATATGATTAAAGACGAAACATATTTAGGTTTCTATTATTAAGTCTAGGTAGAGAAGGCATTACATAGCTCTGCGTAGGACGGTGGATAATAAATAACATATAACTTATTAGACAAAACAACGTGACACAAACGTATACACAGTTGTAAACTCTCATCCACTATTATCCATACACTAGTATTGGACATTTTATTGAATTAAAATCTACCTCACTTTCAAACCTTACTAATGTATTTGAAATTTATGTATCACTTAGTCTCCAGAAAAGAGCTGATGATAAACAAGCTATTTTTTGTAGCACAAAATGCAAACTTTTTGGAACTGCGGACCTGCAGAACCTCTGTCAGACCCAATACAATAAAATGCCATTAATCACTTATCTGCTTTAGAAAAAGGGTCGTGACATCCTTGATGGATCAACCTGATTGGTTACCGATTGCACAAATCCTTTTGTTTTACCCTCGAAAGTAAGGAAAAGCCGCTTGAGATTTTTACAGGGTTACCCTATATTTAGCATTATAATGGCGGTTCGTAGTGATGGCGGTTTGGCTGTCATACTGAGCTAAATTTAAAAAGGACTTACGGCTTCATTTGGTATTAAAGACACTTGTTTCACCATTATTTTTGCTTTAGATATCTTACAACCCATATAAAATCATCTACCTATATTTAGTATACCATTAGTGATTGGTCCTTACTTGGTCCTTTGATTCACTTAAGGTTTTACGTGATGATTGCGTATACAGGAGGAGGTCAAACGTTTCGAATTAGGCTTCAATTGTCATGCTACTCACTACATGAGTACTCCATTAGTGAAATGATCTGGGTATTCACTAGTCACTGGGAAGGCTCATAAATGAATAGGAAACTAGATCCGAGAGATCCGTTTGATTACCTTGTAGACAAAGTGACCCAATTTCTAACCAGAGATTTGGGAGTTCTGGATTTTCTTTTAATTTTTTTTATATTTGTGGTGTTTGGTTTCGGGTATCCACATTAACCCTTCTGAGAATACTTAAAGAACATTTAGGAACAATAGTTTGGGCTTTCCTGCTTAAATGTTCTAAGTCTTAATAAAATTACTCTAAGATCACTAATCCAGGGATTCGGCCTTAATTTTCACTCTTAGCCTTTGTTTACCGTGACCGTGAGGTTGATGATTAAGGTGAAACCTCTTTCGTCGTATTTTGGAGACCAAATGAGAGGCTTATGTTTATCAGAGCATTTACGAAGTAAATCCTGAGAAACAACTATGCTTGCTTTAGATTTGTTAAGGAGAACAAATACCTAAAAGGAATTTTATAGATAGGTAAGCAGGTCTCTGGCTAGTGTGATTAAGACCATGAGTAATGCGGTTTAACCAAATTAATAAAACTATACTAAAAATAATAACTTATATATATATTTTTCATTTATGTATAAATTTCATAAATATAAATAATTGAAACATTTTTAATTATAATAATGTAGTTAGTATTTCTATGTTTCTTTATCATTCATCTAATTTCATTTTTTCCTAGTGCGGATCCAAACTATCGGTCAGCGGTGATCAACACCAACGTGATAGTGAAACACACGGGAGAAGTCACGTGGTTGAGCCATGGGATCTATGTGTCTGTGTGTGACATCAACGTCGAGCAGTTCCCGTTCGATGTCCAGCTGTGCACCATGAAGTGGGCGTCTTGGACGTATGATGGATTTCAGGTATGAAAATAAATTTTATTTTCTTTAAAGACTTGTTTTGGTATACAATGAGGACCATAAAGACGAATGGGTGTATTTGTGGTCCTCCGGTACAAAGATTTAGTATTTATTTTCAATATTTTTAATACGGCTCATTTGTCCCATAAAAGGTACCGTGTTCATTCAACTTTAACATACAATTTGTGTCGGTTATACATAGTCAAATAAACCAGATGTACATTTTATTAAATTACAGCTTTTAATTAATTTTAGACTGACGTAAATCGGAAATATACTCACAATTATTTTCATCTGGATGAAATAATTCAATGGTTGATTCAAAATATCAATGACATAATTATTAGGTGCACGTCCATCATAAAAATCACAGGGAATTTTTATTTTCAATTCAAATCTTAAAAAATATTATTTTTTAGACTATTATATTTTGTTTGAAAAATATTATTTTTAAGATTATCAAAGTTAAACAGTTCCCAGGAAAATAAATAAATATTTGATATTTTTAGTCATAAAAACAACAAGAAATAAATAGACATAGTATTCGTTTTCCTCAAAATCAAATTGAAGACAGAATCACAAAAGCTTTGAAAGACGTAAAGGACGCTATTACAAAACAGTTGTCTAGATAAGGTTTAGATTTGTTAAGTACCAGTAATCATTGATTGATCGCCACTCTAACGCCGGTTTAATGTTGAAGACTTTGTTGAAACTCGATTATGTAAACTAGGGTTGTTTGTCTGATAAAACAAACGTCCTTATTGACTAATTTTCCGTTACTTTGTATTTGTTGCGCTCCTTACAGTTTATTACGAGAGTTAGCTTTGGCACACTACTCTTCTAGTGTAAAGAAATATATAGCTTCTAGTATTACATACATAAATTTATAACATCACGCCTTTTATCCCCGAAGGGGTAGGCAGAAGTGCACATTACGGCACTTAATGCCACTGTACAATGTTACACCTACTTTTCACTATTTATGTTATGATTTCTATGCAATAAGGGGTGAGCCTATTGCCATATAGAGGGTGAGCCCTTCTAGTATTACCAATAGGATACTATGCCAGTTTCGGCTTCGGCAACCGCTTCTTGACTACTGGCGTCTATTATGTGGCTGGATAATCCACCTTTGTATAAAAATATTCTTCCACAGATACTTATTTATTTATACTAATAGAATAGTTATTTATTCATTAAAACTTTGATGTACACAAAATTGTACATTATGATACATACTTTAATACTATATGCCATTCTCTACCAAACAATCATAGGGTTAAGTGAGAAAATTAGTGCCTAAATTAAAAGTGCCAACGAATTTTATTTTCATTTTTATGACATAAATTTCGATTTAGATATTAAATTTTGATTTATGTACTTGCCAAGTTTATTAAGTTTAGAGAGCAATTGTTTGATTGGCTTCAAACTAATAATTGTTGGATAATGACCTTAATTCTCAGAATCTCTAAACAAATAGAACGAAAATAGCTTTCTTGGAACGATATTAACTAAACTTAATGAAAGAGCTTACTTGTAGACAGTAACTAATAAACAAACTGTACACAAAAACGATTCTTATTCATGAACTGTTAAAGTCTAAAACAAACCAATATACATAGACTTTGTTTCATAATGTAATGAATTGCTAAGCGTGAAAAATCATTCTGATATTTTTTTGTGATCATTAGAATTTAGCACTGTTGATATCGACACAAAAATGTTATAATGTTTTAGTTTCACAAAGTTGTCAAATTAAAACACACATGAGTTGAGCTATCTTCAAAATCTATTTGATCTATAGAAATTGGAGTAGGTAACACTTTACGTACAACAAGCTGAGGCAACTAAACTGTCTAAAATAACTTTATCGAATAGTTTTCCATCACACAAGAAATACTTTTGCTAAGAACTCGATACTATATTGAAATATCATATCGCAAAGGTCTAGTACATGTCTGAAAATGATACAATTATGGCAGTGACACCTGATGCGCGAAGTCTGGTAAAACGGAACTAAATCGATAATCCAATGTCGGAGCTATTCCGCTGAGGAAGGAGTTGTCAATTTAATTGACGAGTTTAGCAGTTACAACGTGGATAAAATATTATTTTAATTTATTTGTTAATATCGATACAACGATCATAGGATAGTACTGATATTATCTGTAAATATTTATATTCTTTATTACAGTATTTAAATTTAAGAACAATTTTTCTAGAATAGTAAGTAATTGTCTATTTCGATCAATTTGGATACGTTATTTTATCTTGTTTAGTCCATTTAGTAATCGGAAGGGTTTATCTAAAAATAACTTCTGGATCTCCGTGTAAATGTCCTTTTCCGCTACTAAGGACCAAACTGAGGACCAAAGGACCAATTTAGTGAAAATGGTTTTCTAATACTTTCCTTCTCAGTTTTTCATTCTTTTACACGATACTGAACATTCCATTCTGAACTTTGCATAAAGTATTCCCGTTCAACGTTCTACTCAAGATTGCTCTAACCGCAACCAGAGTTACCTTTATTAACCGAGCAGTTAGTCCAAGATTAACTTGCAGGCGACAATTTAATTTCACCGGTGTATAAATATTTGCAGCTGCATAATCTTTGGATAAACTCGTTTAAAGAGTTCCTCGACACTTCTAACGAGTTTTCAAAGATTGTATTTCATAAATAATGTTATGGTTTTATTCCTCGGATCGGTAGCGGTGTCGAAGTATGTTTCTTAACTTATGTTCAAAGTCTTTCGAAGTTCAGCTGATGAGATGGAGGTAACGAACAAAGTAAATTGCTGCAAAATGTTTGTGCAGATTCAGTTTTTTAATGCTAAATATTTAAAAAAAATCTGTAACGTAGTTGTTTTGTCTTAACAAAATTCATTTCATTCATTCATTCATTTTGACAAAATTCTTATTAAATACTTAATCTGATGTGGTTGCAATGGGACTAGAATAAAAAAACTGCACAAAAAATTTTGTTGTTTTTACAATACGTAGATAAAAGCGACATTACGTAATGAGACAATTAAGAGTGGTAGCAAAATGTGCCTTCTGTCAACTTGCAATAACAGTAAATCCTACAGTTGGCGCGGAAATTAAAAATATTTCATCTGCACAACAAAAATATAAAGATACACGAAACAAATGTTTTAACGAAGAATAAATTTTTTTACTTATTTTCCGTACCAGGAACATGTTTCGAATGAACAATGAGCCACTAACAAAAGAAGTAATGAGCGTTTTCAATGGTAACATTGTAACAAGGAATCAACTGGACTAAAAACAAATAACCATCTATTTTTTAAACTAGACAAAAGATAAAAAGATGGTCATTAAGTATTGGAGAAAATCCTGCAGAAACAAAATCACTTGGCTGTAGCGGTACCTACAATGAATGCAAACAACAGGTTTATTTGCAAGAACTGCATTAAAACAATGTTCGGTTATTTAAGTTCGTTCCAGTTTTGTATTTTGCTAAAAGGTTTCTTTCATAAAGTATTGTACGAATGAATCGGGTAAAGAATTGGAATGGACTCGCTGTAATTTTTTAAGATACTTTCTGGGTGTATAATCTTATTGTTCTTTTACTTAAATCTAGATGAATAATGATTTTTGTAATAACGTTTTCAATTTTACCAGATTTAACAATGTGGGTGTTCTCCCTTGAGTGCAATTTGCGAGAGGTTTCTGCCAAAAAAGTATATCATGGGAATTTCCATTTAATTTTTCAATGTTTATGTACCTTGTAAAATTGTATGGTTCTGGACTTTTGGCATCGTTGCATTAGTCAGTTAAGGTGAACTATTTTTTAGACAGTTTAAATTTTCTTTTACTACTTTAGTAATTTAATTAATCAAAATGGCTACCGCTAAAGTTAATTATATCGTACTATTTAGTAAGCGTTCTTTACTTTGATGAATTGCTACAACCTTTAGTAGATACTGACACGCATATTAAAACAAAATGTAGGTCCAACAGCGTCGATTAAGACGAAAGAATAATTTGTTTACTCAAGACAGACTAACAAAATGAAATGTGATAATAAAAAAGCTAATTTAACAGCGTAAACAAAACAAAATTAATTTCCTTAAGAAATGAGAGAAGTTATTTTGCGACCCAACGGTGAGGATGACTTACCTAGTAATTTTTTACTTTTTTCATTATGTCATATAATTAGTTTTATAGAACCTGAGGGAACCTACCTAGTGTTTAGTCTAAATTAGCTTTAAAGCGTTGTCCAATATACTGTGCAGTAGGCTGCGCAACATCGCCACGACCACGCAAACTGCTCATGAGGAAGAACCCCTATGTGGTTCGAAACTAGTAGAGCTTTTCTCAGTATATTCACGTGAGTAACCCGCGATTTTTAGTTAATTTAGTATGTCTCACGATAGTTTTTATAATCTGATAGTGAACTTTTATGACTAATAATGATGATATATGAAGTCCTTTGCATTAAGACCTAAAGTGTCATTAGAGGTATATAATGATGGTAAAACCCTCTCTATCATCATCATATCAGCCATAAGGCGTCCACTGTTGAACCTAGCCTCCCCAATGACTTCCAGATTGGAAGCGAACTGCATCCAACGGCTCCCTGCGACCTTAATAAAAAACGAGGAAATCCGCAAACGTACAAACGTCGCCGGCATAACCCAGCGGATTAGCAAGTTGAAGTGGCAGTGGGTCGGGCACATAGCGCGGAGAACACCATCTATACAATAAATATATATAATATAGCAATTTTCTAACATTAAGTTACTACAACCATTCTCGCTAAATTAGAGAATGGAATTGAACCAGTGAGTACTACTAATTGTACTGTTATAACCAACAAGGTACAAATACAATCGTGACGTCACGACACGTAACGTTTTTTGTAGAATACTATTCATTACCACAGTCAAGGCGAAACTATTGTGTTGGTTATGTTTTGATTACGTTGGAAAACAGACTTAAATACATACTCATGAAGTTTAATTTTTCATAGCAAACTGTTG